TTATAATGAATATGTTATATGGTGCATATATTTAGCAAAATGCCCCTCTCTACACTTAATTTTTTTTTATCTGACTAATGAGTTTATGGACACCGAATATGTTTTTCTGAGGTAAATGTGACGTTACGTGACATTGTACTCTTTCTTTTAACTTACCTTCGGATGTTTAGTCATGTTTATTTTGTGCTGAAGCTGGTATTAATGTGGAGGAGATGATCAGTTCTACCGCGTCTGCTGATCTGAGGCTCTACAGCGATCTGTCACTCCACATTAAACAGCGCCAAAACGGCATTAATTGTTTGAATATTGCAATACAATGGACAGAATTTGAAATCTGAGACTTTGTTTCATATGAAAAGTACCAAAGCATAATGCTTATTGTGATTTATTGGATGGGAAGTACCCTTCAATGTTCCATCCATTAACTGAAAACAGGCTAGAATAATCGATTCTTGGGATTTAAGAATCGATATCGTTCCGTAAAAAAGAGAATCGATTAATATCGAGAAATCGATATTTTTTACCCAGCCCTACAGTTTACCACTAGCAGGAAAATATGGCATCACGGTCTAATGCTTCGGTTTTAGATTAATACAAAATTATATATAATATATAATTATATACACACTTGAAGTGGATCAAAACCATTCATCAAAGTTGTCCAAAACAATACCCGTTCTTGTCTTAGGACAACTCTGATGATCTTTTTTGATCCACTTCAAATGTTGACTACTGTATAGTGCTGCACGATAAATCGAAATGAAATCGCAACCAGGCAGAAGCAGCGATTGTCATGTATCTTTAAGTGAAGCAAGGTTCTGTGATCAGTAGTAGATCTCGGTGACACTGCAAAATAAAACAGCCTTCCTTCCAGTGTTAATTTTGACAGCAAATTTTGATTTAGTTTTAGTCATAGTCTTTTGACTAACATGCCATTTAGTTTTAGTCATATTTTAGTAATCTGAATTGTTTTTAGTTTTAGTCGACTAAATATCATAAGATTTTAGTCGACTAAATCTACAGTAAATTTAGTCGGCTAAAATCTAATGGGTTTAGTTACAGTGCATGT